CCAACTTCTCATGAAATAGGAAAAAACTATTCCAGGTATTACAGTAGTTGGGTTCTTGTATACCAAAGTAATATCACACAAAAATTCCAAGTTTGCCTTCGATAAATATCATATCCGATTGCAAATATATGATCACTTAAAATGGCAACCGTCTTGTTTTTGTTTTATCCAGTTAATAATGGTTTTATAGGATTTGTCGTGTCTGAAAACCTATGATTAGACACTTTGTTCATATTTCTATCATGTCTAGTTGCAAATATATGATGACGGCCATCTTGGATACCATCTTGAAATCTTGAGATAGCACAGGGAAAATGTTCGGGTACTTTTGATATGATTTTGCACAATTATAAGTCTCCCAAAATTTTTAGCTTGTTACCAATTTGCTCCAGGTTTGAGGTCCATTTGAGCTATATAACCCTTGGACCATCGATATTAATTTCTGGAATCAATTATGCCAAATAGCACCTGATCGCATTTAGAGAAGCGCAAATTAATCTACGACTCTCAACATGGGTTTACAAAGGGAAAATCTTGTCTAACAAATCTGCTGACGTTTTTTGGGGAAAGTCTTCGAGGTAGTAGATAATGACGAAAATTACGATGTTATTTACTTAGACTTTAGCAAAGCGTTTGACAGAGTACCGCATCAGAGGCTTCTGAGAAAAGTTAAGGCTCATGGTATCAAGGAAAGTTTTAAATTGGATAAAATCATGGCTCACCAATAGAACACAGAGGGTCAGCGTAGATGGTGTTAAATCTGAGTGGGGCTGTGTAACCAGTGGGGTTACCCAGGAGTCAGTACTGGGCCCATTCTTGTTCATAATCTATATAAACGATTTAGATACTGGGATCAGCAGTGACATAAGCAAGTTTGCGGATGACACCAAAATAGGGCGTAAATTAATTCAGGGCAGGATGCAAATGCACTACAGGAGGATTTAAATAAACTGCAGGAGTGGTCAGAAAAATAGCAAATGAAATTCAACACCAGCAAGTGCAGCGTACTTAATATTGGAAGAACAAATACTGTCAATGTATACAGCCTAAGCAACATCAACATAGAGAAGTCGACTTGTGAAAGAGACTTAGGGGTACTTGTAAGTACGGACCTACGGCAAACAGAGTATTAGGTTATATATCTAGAAGTGTAAGTAATAACAGTGCAGAGGTCTTATTGCAACTATACTTTGCGCTAGTCAGGCCGCACCTCGATTATGCGGTTTAGTTCTGGTGACCTTATTATAGAATGGACATCAATTCACTAGAGTCGGTGCAGCGAAGAATGACGAAAATGATTCCGGGACTTAGAAACCTTCAATATCAATATAGGTTAAAGAAACTAAACTTGCATTCCCTAGAAAGACGAAGAGTGCGGGGAGATATGATATAAGTATTTAAGTGGGTGAAAGGAATCAATAAATGAGATATAGATAAAGTTCTTATAATATCCGAGCAGGATAGGACTCGTAGCAACGGATTTAACTTGGATAAGTTTAGGTTTAGGAGGGAGATAGGAAGGAACTGGTTCACAAATAGGGTGGTGGACGAGTGAAACAAGCTTAGCAACTTTGTAGTAAGTGCAGGAACGCTGGAAAGTTTTAAAAGGAGGCTAGATAGATTCATGGATGATAGAGAGTGGTAGTAACTCACGACTGGCACTGCCATGCACAATTTGCACAGGCTAACCTGCCTATTGCAGATTCCTTATTTTCTTATGTTCTTATATAGAAGTGTGAGGTACAGCCCGCACTATGGTGCTAATATTAGAATTGTTAAAACAATGTACCTAGGCTATATAAGATCTCTGATAGATTACCACGCACCAGCCCTGGTCCTTCGTGACCGGGAAAGGCGTTGACAAGCTCGAGAAAATGCAAATAAAGCCCTCAGAATTATCCTAGGATGTCCATGAGCACTAAAGTACTTAATATGAGGAAAGAACTGGTATACCCAGTGTTAAAGATAGAATAATTGAAGTCAACCTCATGATAGCCCTGAGGCTTCTGCGTAGTGATCCTGATTGTTTCCTTAAAATTGCTAGAATGTATGAACCATGGGACTATTGAGTCTAAATGGATCAAACTACAGCTACACATATGAAGATGTTTGGACTAGACCACCTGTACAAAGTTGAGACACACTTCCCTGCCACCCTGGCGGACAGTTCCTTCGATATCACAATACCGACGTATCCGCCTAAAATTAATTATACAAGCATTTATCTCAACACACTGCCATAATTGAAGCTCTTGAACACATACACACTCTACAGACTGATAATAATATCACACAGACCATCTACACTGATGGATCTCTTAAACACCGCCTGTGGGAGGGCTGGAAGTGCTATTGTTGTGACTCAACCTGACGGTAATATAATTGAGAAAGGAGTTAGCATTAACAACTGGGCATCCACTCTACAAACTGAATTAGTTGCCATACTCACAGCTATTAAATTAATTGAAACCACTGTCACTGACAGTCTCATCATCACTGACTCTCTATCACTACTTGCTTGGCACCCTCGACTCAGGTTGTCACGCTCTTGTCTCTGAAGCCAGACACAAATATGCGTGCCTTGTTGACAGGGGTGTCAAGGTCAAACAATGGATCCCCTCTCACATAGGCCTCATAAACATGACAGAGTTGATACCTCGCCAAACTCGCGTCTAACAAAGACACCGTTGAATACAATTTGGGTCTGTCAAAAAGAACCATAAAACTGTAATTAGGAAAGAACTTATTGATGAGTTTGACGCAAGTGAGACAGTCAAACAGGCACTAGTCGATCCATAGTTTACCATGATGAGATGTATCAATGAAACATGTATATGGAGCAAGTAACAAGATCACTAGATTACAAGATGTTGTAACCGCTAGATTAAGGTTAGGATATAAGTACCTTTGGTAGTATGTTCCTCAAGGAGATGTAAACAAACTAATGTAAGTGTGTGGCCATACATATGGCCACACATAATTACTCGTCCTCGACTGTGTGAAGATAGAACCTTTTAGGGACAGGTCCAAGCACACTGTGTGTGAAATGGCACAACACTTCATCTCTAATGGCAAGATAGCCGACATATTAAGATTGTATCCACATTTTTGCACTAAGTGTCATGGGTTGCGTTGGGCCTCCCGCACAACCCATCCCAAATGTTTGTTTGCGGTAGAGATAAGGTAACCGGCCAGCCATGACTGGGACATGTAGGGGCAGGCCAGTGAGACAGTGGTGTACTGTTCATCACTTCACGCCTAAAAAAACCAATTTAGCCAGTGGGCTTTAGACCTTGGGCTAGAAGAGACCTCCTGCTCCGCGGACTTAAGATCAGGGCCATACAGTCCTACCAGTGCTACGGGTCTGTGTGTGCAAATCCCGAGATTTTTTGTTAAGTCCAGCGACAAGTTAACACATCCTGTAAAAGGATGATCAATGGTGAGGGCCTGTTTGCAAAGAGCACTCCAGGTCGGCCTAATAGATCTAACGATTAATTCACCAGGTTGACAAACTCTTATAACTTACGGTGCTGTGGCGTGAATGTGAGTGACTGACCTATCCATGCAAATTATAAGTCCAGTGTATGGAATTGTGCCAAATAAACGTAAGTGCAATCATCTGCCCGTATCTGTAATCCCTCTATTATCATTATTACCAAGGGTAATGACTGATTAGTTATGACAAAGTATAACCAATAACTTAGATGGATGTTGGAAGTTAGTGGAATTCACTAAATCATCATTTATCAAGTACATAACGCATTGAGTGCCGGAAGCAGAGCAAAATTCTACGTAGTGATACACCATAATCTCTTGGGTGAGTAACCAGTGTGAAGGTATCCGAGTTCTACGGTAAGAAAGCCACTTTCCTGCACTTAAAACGTAACACTAAGTAACTATATCAGTTCTCATGTACAGAACCAAATACGCAATGTGCTTGAATACTTCTCACGTAAATGTGAATAACAAAAGGATGAGTGTGGGTGAACAATAAAGTAGCCGCTGTAAGCGGCAAAATCAAAATCAATTATATTAAACTCGCATTCCTTCGTATCAATCTTCCTGTTGTTTACAACAGTGTCACAACACCTATTATATCATGTTCATCCTGTCGAGGAAAATGTCAATGTCTGTGAGTAGTACTATGCAATATAATTATAACTTTTATATTGTATTTAGTGAGCGGCAATAGCTCATAACTTGTTAACGAATCTGAATCAATTGCATTATGAACAGCAACAGAATTTCATTTAATCTGTTCTCGTTACTGTTTGAGGTATGGCAAGCCAGATACAGGAATGTTCATTCATTATCAACCACAAGGACTTGGAGATCCCATAATTGTCCTTGTCCCCTTTACTTTCCCGGTGTGTGTCATTCACCAGATTCCCGTTACTGTTGTTACTACTCATCATCAGCAAAACACGCGACTGCTCATGTGACCTGTACGCACATAAGGTAGATTACACACATTAATTCTCCTAATCTTTCAATTACTATTAAAGAAGGCACGTTGAAAACAAAATGAAAAGCAAAAACTTTACACTACACTGATTAAATATCAGTAACAGCGACAAGTTAGAAATATGCGCTGCCTTATGTGGTGAGGAATTACATATTAAACGTTCGCCTTTCCCTTCAGTTAACATGGACAAAACGTTTCAACGAGCGTATATTAGTAAATCGGCCAGGGTTGACGTCACTGCCTGTCACATAATGGTGACGATAGTGTTAAGGAAGCACCAAGAATTTCCTCCTGAGATGTGTTCTGGTAACACTGGCTAGGGGGAAGTTTTCAGAGGCCTCCATAATAGGATATCCCGCTAACTTTATGATTGACGAAAGCAGACTTCTTATGATTACTTAACGCTGTAGTAAATAAGTAAACGATAATGTAAATAGCGAGAATAGCCATCAATCAGGAATTTGACATTATGTTTAGGAGCCCATTCTATCAGAAATATGGTCCTCAACCCACCCCCGTATATATATACTACTCGACGCAGTTGTGATGCTCACTCACACCTAACCCTCACACAGGGAACATCGTCTACTGGTCGTTGAGCCTCTTGACTCCAAGACACACTAGAATCCAAGTCCTTTGAACAATATACTGTATTGTGGCGATGAAGAAACAATTGTTAACGTTGCTTATCGTGTGTATGGTCATGGTTGTGGACTCTATGACTATCGACAGTAAAGATAAAACGACAGGTAATGATATCGAGGATGTCACAGTTGGCGTAGAGAGAGGTTTGCCAGCTGACGACGTGGGCCAGACCTGGTCAGTCAGGGAAGTGCACGTCTCACCCAAGGATGCAAGGTCTGCCAAGTCCGTTGAGGAGCGCGCCATAAATCGCCAAATGAAACAAGTGAAAAAGTTGAAATGTAAACCGTACAGGAAGAAGGTGTATGTAAGAGACAAGGTGCAAGACGAGCGAAATGACGAAGAGCTCTTCCCGCATGTGGTGGTAGTGAAGCGGTGTGACAATTCGTGTAGCTTTTGCGGGGACAGCAAAGGCAGGGAGCTGTTGAATTGCGTTGCTATTAAGACCAAGATGAAGAAATTCACAATCTACTACGAGGACGAACAAAAACAGAGGCATTACTCGGAGCTGTACCTCAAACAGGATATGAAGTGTGGTTGTTTTGCCGGTGCTGACGCTCACACTGGCCAGCACACCTGATACTCCTGACGGTGGTGAGGGGTCCCTCCTGACGCTCACACTGGCCACACACCTGATACTCCTGACGGTGGTGATAATGCTGTTCCTGCTGACGCTCACACTGCCCAGCACACCTGATACTCCTGACAGTGGTGATAATGCTGTTCCTGCTGACGCTCACACTGGCCACACACCTGATACTCCTGACGGTGGATAAGGGTGTTCCTGCTGACGCTCACACTGGCCAGCACATCTGATACTCCTGACGGTGGTGATAAGGGTGTTCCTGCTGACGCTCACACTGGCCAGCACACCTGATACTCCTGACGGTGGTGATAATGCTGTTCCTGCTGACGCTCACACTGGCCAGCACACCTGATACTCCTGACGGTGGTGATAATGCTGTCCTCCTGACGCTCACACTGGCCAGCACACCTGATACTCCTGACGGTGGTGATAATGCTGTTCCTGCTGAAACTCTCAATGGCCAGCACACCTGATACTCCTGACAGTGGTGATAATGCTGTCCCTCCTGACGCTCACACTGGCCAACACACCTGATACGCCTGACGGTGGTGATAATGATGTTCCTGCTGACGCTCACACTGGCCAGCACACCTGATACTCCTGACGGTGGTGATAATGCTGTCCCTCCTGACGCTCACACTGGCCAGCACACCTGATACTCCTGACGGTGGTGATAATGCTGTTCCTGCTGACGCTCACACTGGCCAGCACACCGATACTCCTGACGGTGGTGATAATGCTGTCCTCCTGACGCCACACGGCCAGCACACCTGATACCCTGACGGTGGTGATAATGCTGTTCCTGCTGACGCTCACACTGGCCAGCACACCTGATACTCCTGACGGTGGTGATAATGCTGTTCCTGCTGAAACTCTCAATGGCCAGCACACCTGATACTCCTGACAGTGGTGATAATGCTGTCCCTCCTGACGCTCACACTGGCCAACACACCTGATACGCCTGACGGTGGTGATAATGCTGTCCCTCCTGACGCTCACACTGGCAACACACCGGAGCCTCCTGACGGTGGTGATAATGTTGTCCCTCCTGACGCCCACACTGGCCAGCACACCTGATACTCCTGACGGTGGTGATAATGGTGCCCCAACTGACGCTCACACTCGTCAGCCCATCTGATAGTGTTATTGATGGCGAGAAGTTCCAAAGCCTCCTGATAGCCGTGTAGGATTAAAAAATGAAAGTCGACATATACAACAGCTCCTTGATTTGATGCCCGTCAGTGTCCCAAGTGACTTTTTCCCTTTATTACTGAACACAAATAAGCAGATCTTCAATACTTCTGGCATCATCAGTAGTATTTGTGTGATTAGCTTGTTTTCCGTAGCTGATGAAGCGCAGTAGTACACCTTATTAGCATCAATATACTAATCCATGGAATGTTATCTCATTATTAATTATTAATGACTGATGTTTTTACTAACCTCGGTTAAAGACTTAAGTTGTTAAAGCGTAATAATACATTATAACATCAATAGCAACGCTAAATGAATGTGAACATTATGGAATAGTTAATATAAACTTAACAATTGTTATCAATGTTCTCGTGTTCTATGCACGAAGAATAAGTTTAGGTTTTCTATAAAGTTTGTATCTGCTGACTGTTGTAGTAACCAATGAACAATGCTGTGTGACCAAAGTAAATGAACCCGACAACAGCTACCTGCATTTTTTTTGTTCAATTCATGACCGAGTTTGTACACCAAAGAATGTTGCCATGTCCTCATGTTTTCTATGGCTGTGATAACCAGTACCTGATGTTTTAATTATATACTCTATGTGTAGTATTAATGAAATGTATTCGTGTCAATGTTATTTATTATATAAATAATTTTTATTTCTTATTTTCTTTTTTACCTTTTTTAGTAACTTTAGATATATATTTTTTTATAGATTAAACTATGTTTTATGTATTTGTTAAGTTAAAATATAAACTATTGGAAGCAAAACATTAATGGAAAATGAGACTCATTGATGAGTGAAGAAGTATTAATAAGTTGGTGAGGAAAATTTTATGTATTTGGGAAGTAACATTAGCTGTGATGGTAGATATGAGGAAAAATCAAAACAAGAATAGAGCAAGCAAAAACAGCATTTAAGAAGCTAAAAGTCCTAATTGTCACGGGTTAGAATCTATGGTTAACTAATTAATGTAAATACTTGAAAAAGGAAAAATGCCGAACTCTTAATTCACTTAAAAAATAAAATGAAGCAAGAACGTTAACCACAAATTCCGCCTCATGAACTAATTAATTTGTGACATGTGGGAGTAGTCAAATATATAGTAATTTTCTTACACTAAATATTTACAAAAAAAAATCACTAAATAGTTCCACAAAACGTTAAAGAAATCACTGTAGAAGCGAGAAAATGAATAAGAACACAGTGATGGCCTTCAATTGAAGTAACACACGTAACAGTAAGATCACTGGCCGGGAAGAGTGTTGTGTCCAGGTATATAAACAATCACTGGGAAGCACACAAGGTATGACACACAATTGTTACACTTATAATAATGGTTTCCCCTCGTGTAAAGAGGATGGCCGGCCCAAGGACCACCTACGGTAGGCGTGAATTTGTTTAAGGTGTAGAAACTATCGCCAACACAATAATCACACCCTGAGTTAACGAGTTGCAGGAGTCAGTGTCAAGGAATGGCCCGAGAAAACCGGACAACTCGTCAACTGCACTGGTTAACCATTACCCCGGAACGCGACTCACAAATCGATTAACATCCAGGTCCCCAATTACTCCTGGGTAGACAGAAGCAAATGGCGTAAAGAAACTTGCCCTTAGTGTCACCCTGTACGGGAATCGAACCTGAGTCCGCTCGCTTGCAAGGCGAGCATGTTGACCATTACACTACAGGTCGCCATAATTGTTACACTAAGCCTGTATCTACATTAAGGCTGACACATCCCTAGACCTAAGAGAATAAATACACAAAAGAGGACTTAGAGTAAGTTAATTGGCCGTGATGAGACTCGAGGATGCGCTGGAGAGGAGGAACCACGACAGGTCGACACGTTGGAGAGAGAGGAAAAAAATGCGTATTCCGAGCTCCCGAGCCGTGCACGGCTTTCATAACTTCGTATTGGACGGAGCTTGTGGAAGTGTCAGCCAAGGTTTCTGGAAACAATTCGAAGCCAAAAGGAGACAGTGGAAGGAACGGACTGGCGCTTCTATCGCGCTAGTGGCTTCTAGAAATTTCTATATTAGCAGGCAGTGAGCAATGGGTTACAACATAATGAAAAGGGGCATTAATTTCAATTTGAGGAAAAGGATCCTAAAAGGCTTCATACAGCAATAACCGATGAAAGGGTCATATGCATGAACACTTTCAGCAGACAAGTGATGAGTACTAGGATTAGCAAAAACTTAAAATGTACAGAATAAGAAAAATGCGATAATTTGGTCATATACTGCAGTTAGGGATGAGGGGATAATAACAGAAATATTAATGGGCAAAGTTTATGGTAGGAGGACTAGGGGGAAGGCAGAGACTGGTGTCTATGGATGAAATAAAGAAATGGGACCCCAGAGAAAAACATAACTTAGGGGATTGGTAAAACAGCCCGAAAACGTTTTGAATGGACTCCAGTCACCACCCCTCAGATATGAAGACGGTACTGTGATTGATTGAAGGAAGATTGTAAATTAACTATATATATATATATATATATATATATATATATATATATATATATATATATATATATATATATATATATATATATATATATATATATATATATATATATATATATATATATAATAGTTTTTATAAATCAACAGAATCGCATTTTATTGAAAGTGAAACCGTTTATTTAGCCTGAAGATTCCAAATATAAAGTGAACAATAACAAAATTACAGACATACTGGACCAAATGAGAGCCGAGGTACTCTAAGTGGCTTCCTGATATATACTGTGCATTTATCTCAAGGAAATAATTATATAACGTTAGTCTCATCTGAATTAAAACATGTTACATGCTGTCAGTAAATACTTATTAGACATTAAATTTCTTTTACTAGACTATCTCCATCAGGAGTCTATTTATAGGAAGCGAGCAAATTCATTGCTCGGATGGGTGTGGGTATGATGTTCCACGCCTTCACCATGATAGCTTAAGTAGGTCTGGGTGCGTGGATTTGGTCTTAGTATGTCTAGGTTTTGTAAGTTCTACTTACGGTTTGTCCAGAACTGAATATAGTATATGACAGTGAATCAAGTGTTGACAAGTAATATCATCGTTAACTTCTATCATTGCTGCAACAGTAAGTGACTAACAACTGTGTTTATTGATTTTACTGTGAATGTGATTTCTTCAGTTTAGGTGGCCATCAACAACTCCAAGAAATTTAGTATTCTGTTCATGTTTGAGAATTGTACTGCCAAGGTATACAGGGGGTCCAAATCAGTGAGAAAGCTTTTTCTTCTGTGATTTTTTTTTAAGGTTTTAAGTCAGGTTATTACATATTATCTAGTTTCTGATTTTAGTTAGTTCGTAATTAATGATTGTTATCAAGGAATGGATATCTGGCATGCAGATTACTATTATCAGCAAATAAAATGTGCTTTCCGAGTGTGCTGGAGTAGACTATGTCATTTATATAATACAACAGTATGTTGTAATCTTGTGGAACACCAGACAAAATAGGTGAGGGATCAGACTGACGTTTAATTAAGCTGACGTGCTGTTTCCTGTTAGACAGATAAAAAATAACGATCAACAGTACAATTATCGATTACATAGCTTGAGCTGGTAGACTGTGAACTTGACGTTATGACCTGCGGTGGTGGCAGGTGTTATCTTGAAAAATGGCCCAGGTTCGCCTTTTCAATCACTTTCAAGATCTTGAATGTTTTTAAGAGATCCGTCCTATTGTGTCCTGTCTGTGTAGTATCTTGCGTTATTTAATGGGAAA